AAGGTTGCAGTGAGCCATGATCGTGCCACTGTACTCCAGTCTGGACAACACAGAAAGACTCTTAACTCAAAAAAAAGGTATTGATGCAGTTCACCACATTACACTTTCAAATAAGAAACACAATATGATCTCAACAGATATGGGGGGGGGAATAGCACTTAATAAAATTTGTCACATTCCACCAGGATGGCATAAAAAATATAGAAATATCCTAGAAAGTTAGGAATAAAATAAAATTTCCTTAAAGCATGCCTTCTAAAAACTATTGCAAACATCACATTTGATAAAATTAAAGCATTCTCATTAAAATCAGAAGTAAGTCAGAGCTACTCATTATCATCACTACTATTCAACATCAACAGTCTTCAATATAAAGAGGCTAGCAAAAGAAATTGGGATTCTTGGCTACAAGCAATAAAAACCAACCATGACAAACATAAGCCATAAAGAACCCACTGGAAGGATTTCATTAGCTCACAACAGAAATGAAAGGCTAAAGAAAATAAGCAAGACAGCCGGGCTCAGTGGCTCAGCCTGTAATCCTGTGCCTTGGGAGACTGAGGTGAGTGGATTGCCAGAACCCACGGGTTCGAGACCTGCCTGCAACTTGGCGAGACCTCATCTCTACAATAAATCAAAAAGTTAGCCAGGCGTGGTAGCACGCGCCAGTAGTTTCAGCTACTTGGAAGGCTGAGGCAAAAGGATCGCCAGGGTGGCCGGGAGCGGCCACTTGCACTCCAGTCTGGGTGACTGAGTGAGACTCGAACTCAAAAAAAAAAAAAAAAAAGAAAAGAAGCAAGAAGTAAGGACACTCCAGAGGACTATGCAGTAGGAATTGAGGGAGAGTATTCAGTATGTCAGACACAGACAAGCTTCTTGTAAGTAGTTTTAGAATAGAGGAAACATTCAGACATTTTTTTCCTTATCACATCGGACCTGTCCACCAGGCAGGCTGGAGTGCAAACTTGCCAGTCCACCCCATACTCTCAGCTCATCAAAGAAAAGCCCATCAAGGTGTAGAAATGATCATCAAACCACCTTTTAACTCATGAATTAACATAATCACAAACCGGGCTCTGTGGCTCAGCCTGTAATCCCGCGCCTTTGGGAGGCTGAGGTGAGTGGACTGCCTGAGCCCGCGGGTTCGTGACCTGCCGGGGTAATTTGGCGAGACCTCGTCTCTACAATAAATCAAAAAATGAGCTGGGTGTGGTAGCGCGCACCTGTAGTTCCAGCTACTTGGAAGGTTGAGGTGGAAGGATCACCAGAGCCCAGCAGGTCGAGGCTGCGGTGGCCAGGAGCGGCCACTGCACTCCAGTCTGGGCGTCAGAGTGAAACTCCAACTCAAAAAAAAAAAACATAATCACAAAGTCTATCAAGACTCTGGTCAAAGGCAAAATGCGTGTTCCAGGAAAAGGTCACCCCTAGCTCAATAGTAATCTCTCTGGAGCAGATACCTGCCACCCACTTATTAACATATTAATCACTAAATAGGTATATTATATATCAAGCCTTTTGTCAAAAGCTAAAGGGCATCTCTCTTCAACCCTGCCCATGCCTCAGCATGTTTCTTTCTCTCTCTCTCTCTCTCTCTCTCTCTCTTTCTCTCTTTCTAATAAATTCTGTTCCAAAACTTTACTAGCTGCTCTGAAATTCTTTTCAGTAGTGAGTCAAAGAACTCACAAGCATCGCACTGCAGTCCATCCAGCAACAGGGATGATCTTAATAAGGGTATTAAAGCAAAACCAATTCAATTAACCTACTCTGCTGAGATCACTGAGTTGCAATGTTCTTTCCAGCCATGCATCATTGATATTCAAAGACTTGCAAAGGAACATCTATACAACACAAAAACATTGCAAATAGGTTAAGAACTATAGAACTTTTTTAAAAGACCACAGATGAGTATTTTTATAGTGTTAGGCATGTGAAAGTCCTTCCTAAAACAATACACAAATCCCAGGAGTCACAAAAGAGAAAAAAAAAAATGAAGAGTTGCCTATCAAAAAGTAATCAGATTTAACTATGAAATTTGTTAAACTTCTGTCACAAAAGATAATATAAACACAGTTCAAGACATCAAGAGTTAAGGAAAAAAGGCCTACCACACATAAAGAGTATTAATATCCATGATATACAAAGAGAGTCAACAGAATGAGACAACACTCTATAGTCCAATAGAAATGGGCAAAAGATACTAAGCAATTTACAGGAATGAAATACAAATAGCCAATAAACTTAAAAGGCACAAACTCATTAGTAATCATGACAAATGCAATGAAAACTGTCTTCTGATCATCAAAATGACAAGATACTGAAGACTGATAATAGCCAATGTTGTCAAGGGAAATGGTCAGCCTAACACACCTCTAGTAAAAGCCTACACAGGTATACTCTTATGTGTGATTCCTATCATTTTTACCTCTTTACAAGTACTGGCAGTGTATAATACTACATTAGCATTCAATTATCACAGTATTCAACTATCTCACTCTATCACCCAGACTGGAGTGCAGTAGCACGCTCAAGGCCACCGCAGCCTCAACCTGCTGGGCTCCAGCGAACCTTCCGCCTCAGCCTTCCAAGTAGCTGGAACTACAGGCGTGCGCTACCACACCCAGCTAATTTTTGATTTATTGTAGAGATGAGGGCTCACCAAGTTGCCCAGGCGGGTCTCGAACCCACGGGCTCAGGCAATTCACTCATCTCAGCCTCCCAAAGCGCGGGATTACAGGCTGAGCCACCGAGCCCAACCGAGTAATACCTTTTTCAAAACCTGACTTTAAAAAATTTCCTGAGGATTACAAAGAGCTTTTGTTTATGTGGAATACAAATATCAATACTTAGCAATTAGAAATTATAATTCAGAAAATTTGACATAGTCATAGACGCTAAAGTAACTCTATCTTGGATGCTGATTTACCATTCTGACTTCTGATTAACCCCAGTTCTGGGAATGCCTTTAAAACGGGTAAGATCTCTATTTACTATTGTTCCCTGTTGTAAGAACATGTACTTACTATATATTCTGCCCTTAGAACAAAACAGCCTTAATGTTATTTATGATGGACTTATCATAAATCCAGCCCTTAAGTAACTGTCCCACACATCCCTTCAGAAGCCCATATATCTTTTCCCTATAGTATATAAGCCCTGGGGCTAGGGGATAACAGGGCTGGGAGTCAACCCAGCCAGGATTCACTGTCTCCTCATCCCCACCCAAGACATGGCTTATGTTTATAAGTCTCTATTACAGGTTTCTTTCTGAGAAATTGGGCTTGTCAACCTCTCAGTTTCCTCAGCCTTTAGGGGTATGTTTGAATAGAACTGCTCCATCACAAGACAATAGTTCCTTATGTATTCATCTGTAAAATCACAGATGCATTAAATATTGCCCTAATTAATATATACTTTTTGTAAAAATAACTACTTTCCAAAGCTGAAAACAATTAGTGAGAAAAAGTCACCCTCTTGTATAGGTTAACAAATCTCTGGCTTCAAATGGAACACAGTTGGCTAGATTTTCCTATCTGCTTCAATACATTACAGTATCATGAGTCGTGTAGCCTCTGGAAAACTCCACTGTACACTTGTGAGAAAGTGAGAGTGAAAAAGATTAATAACATCTGCATATTTGAAAATACCCTTAACTTGGAAGTGTCAGGGATTCCCATGGGTCCCTGGACCACACTTTGAGAACCTCTGACTTCACCTACACAAGAAAATATCAAATTCTGAATGTGGAATAGTAACAAAATGTACTTCTCAAATCAAGGAAGCAGGATCTCACGCAAATTATCTATCCTACTTCAATATCTATCCAGGTGAAAATTTCTACCAATGATTTAGACTAAGCTACAAACTCCAATGTACATGAATAATATTTCTGAGGCCCACCAGTGGTCCATAAGAGTGCTACAGCCCGGGCTGGGTGGCTCAGCCTGTAATCCCAGCACTTTGGGAGGCCGAGGTAAGTGGATTGCCTGAGTCCGCATGCTCGAGACCCACTCGGGTAACTTGGTGAGCGCTCATCTCTACAATAAATCAAAAAATTAGCCGGGCATGGTAGCGCATGCCTGTAGTTCCAGCTACTTGGAAGGCTGAAGCGGAAGGATCGCGGGAGCCCAGCAGGTGGACGCTGCGGTGGCCAGGAGCGTACCACTGCACTCCAGTCTGGGCGACCGAGGGAGACTTCAACTCAAAAAAAAATAAAAAATAAAAAAAGAGTGCCACAAGCATCCACCTCCACCTCACTCATCAACTATCTGCAAAATAAGGCAGATGAGAGGCAACATGAACACATAGAAAGTAGACGAAGAAATGTCTGACCTCAAAGAAAAAAGAGGTCCATAACACTAAAGGAAGGTAGGATAACTCCAAAAAGGCAAAGCCATATTGGAGCAAACATATCAAGGGGTAAAACACAAGAAAATACTACCATTGCTCCTTTATCATAGCGTTAGAACAACTCGAACTGCCGTGTGAAGACTATATCCCCATTCCACAGAGAGTGAAACTCTGCCAAGCGACTCTTTGCGCCATGGCCCTCATGCCTGTGAACCCGGGAATCCACTCGCTGCTCACGTGCAAGCCACAGTGACAGGCCACCGCGTGGAGGGGAGCGCGGGCGTGCCTACGGGAGGCGTTCCGGGCGTTTGTACAGCTTTCACGACCGGAGAGTAGTCCCTGCCTGCGTGTTACTCCAAGAGGCTGGCTCAGAAACTTGCTCTCCCTGGGAGCTGTGTTCTCAGGTGGCTTCCGAAGCCCGTCCAAGGAGGCGGCGGGGCCGCC